CTACACTATGGTTCGGTACGCTGCGCTTTGAAAAAGCCTCGTGCTGCCGCAGGCCTGTTTTTGAAATAACAAACTTAACATATATTAATTAACCATGAAGCCCATGCACCATTATAACTTAAGCTACACTGCCTATTATTAGTTTGATACTGGAGAAAACTTTGATGTTTCTCAATATATGTATAAATATCTGGAAAAAGACGATATCCCTAGACCCACGCAGGAAAGTTGATCTACCCAAAAAGTATTAATTGTTTATTTATCTGATTAGCTATTCTATGCGCAGTGTTTTTGTTTCATAATGAAAGACTTGATAATCCAAAATATTAATTTCAAAGGCGACCCCTTCATCGACCTAAAACAATTAATTTTCCAGTTGTTCTCGAATAATGACATACTGTTTGTGAAAAAGTGTTCATAGACTGTTTCTCTAAACTCGATAATATAATGCTTCATACTATTGGTTGTTATACTGGGCCGGAGGGTAACCTCCACCCTGAAAACCCCATAGTAACAATTTTATTTGCAATGATTTTTTCCGTAAAGGTCACTTTTTATATTATGACTTTCTCCAAACAATCAGTTTTTATATATGATCTTTTTTTTTAGTCTAATGTTTAATACTATGGGTCGTATTCTTGGGAGGAGTGGTTTTCCCATCCTCTATTGTATCTCGGCTCAGAAATATTACGCCATAAAAAAAATCATGCTTTAAAAACACAGCGCTGTAAAAAAAAAAGGAATATTGTTTTTCAGAAGGTAACAATTTAATGCTAAATAATATTGGCCATATTCTTGGGGGGAGGGGGAACCCCTCCCCCCAAACCCCCCACCCCTCTTGCGGGGAAAACCCCCGCACCCCCTCAAAAAAATCGTAACTCTGTGACTGTTTTTTACAATTCCTAATTCCTATTATTTTTATATATTAATGCACTGTAGAGGAGGAATCACCATAAAAACAAAAAATTTAAAAAAAAAATTCTTTCGGTCTGTACATTTACTCTCGAAATAAGACTTGCCGTTATATCTAAAAAATAATGTCTTAGAATAACCAGTTGCATTTGGGGTATAATAGTTTAGATGTCAATGGATTAAAAAATGAAAGGGATTTGAGTTATATGCTTATGGAATCAAAAAGGTCTGCTACTAACATACACAAAAACGTATTCAGTGCGCACGGTACCAATTTGCGTGTTTTAAAAAATATTTGAGCACTTCAAAATCCCAATTTGCGTAAATATTATTCGCAAACTTTGCGCATCTCTTGAAACCAATTTGCATCAGTCTGAATTATATTTTACGTTTTAAAAGCATAATATTTTCAATTTCTTGACCAATTTGCGTTTCGTTTTCTAAATCATTTAACACGTATTCAATCACTGAACAGATAGTGTTTGAAAATGATCGGAGGGATATTGCTAATGATAACGGAAAGCAGTCCAAGGACTGAAAAAAAGAATTCAATCCTTATAACAGACTAACTTCGAGTAAGTTTAAGCAGTATCCTAACCTTAGTGAAACGGGTGGTACAAAAACTCCGCTGTCCGCCAAAAAATAAGTTCTTGTTTTAAGTGGTAAAAATACTATGCATGCCGATTACTTGGAAAAATGATCCGGTATTTCCGCCGATTTAGTCCTCATTGGTCAACCATCTCGTAATTATTTTTTCCAAAAACACGTGTCTGAAAAAGTTACATGGGCTCTTTTTATCCAAATAAATAAAATTAATCAATTTTAAATAAACGAGGCTTTTTCAAACCTAACCTCCGTTTCGGTAAAATTTTTGACCCTCGCTGCGCTGCGGTAAATTTTTAACCTGCACTATGGTTCGGTACGCTGCGCTTTGAAAAAACCTCGTGCTGCCGCAGGCCTGTTTTTGAAATAACAAACTTAACATATATTAATTAACCATGAAGCCCATGCACCATTATACCTTAAGCTACACTGCCTATTATTAGTTTGACACTGGGGAAAACTTTGATGTTTCTCAATACATGTTTAAATATTTGGAAAAAGAATATATCCCTATACCCAGGCTAGAACGTTGATCTACGCAAAAGTAATATTTGTTTATCTTTCTGATTAATTATTCTATGCGCAATGTTTTTGCTTCAAAATGAAAGACTTGTAATGAAAGACTTGATGGTCCAAAATATTAATTTCAAAGGTGACCCTTTCATCGACCTAAAACAAACAATTTTTCAGTTCTTCTCAAATAATGACATATTGTCTGTGAAAAACTGTTCATAGACTGTTTCTATAACCTCGATAATATAATTGTTAATGCTATTGGCTTTTATACTGGGGCGAAGGTTACCTCAACCACGAAACCCGATACTTACATTTTTTTGAATGACTTTTACGTAAAAGTCAATTTTTATATTATGACTCTCTACAAAATAGTCAATTTTTATATAAGCTCTTTTTTTCAGTCTAATGTTTAATGTTATGGGTCGTATTCTTAGGAGAAGGGGCCTTCCCAGCCTCTAATTTTGTACCTCTGCTATAAAATATTAAGACTTAAAAAAACAATTACGCTTTAAAAACATACGACTGTAAAAAAAATTATGCTCTAGGATATTGTGATGTAAAAAATAAAGGAATATTGTTTTTCAGAATTCAACAATTTAATGCTTAATCCTATGAGCCGTATTCATGAGTGGAAGGGTTCCCCCTCTCCTCTTGCGGGGGAAACCCCCGCACGCCCAATTTTTTTTTATCACTGCTTAAAAATTACACTGCTAAAAAAAAAAAAAAAAAAAAAAATACTGCTTTATACGATATAAGCTCTTTCATGCTAATACTATGGGCCCTATTCTTGAGGGGAGGGGTTCCCCCTCCCCTAAACCCCCGCACCCCTATAAAAAATCCTAACTTTTGTAACTTTTGTGACTGAAAATTAGCTCGCCTTGTGACTGTGTAGTTACGGTTCCAATAATTTCAATATAATAATGGTAATTTCTTTTATAACTCAAATAGAAGGTTATCCAATGACTGTACCAATTGAAATTTTGATAAAAACGCTTCAAGTAGCATCCTTCTACTATTTAAAAATTAAATGTGTCAATGTTTGTGCTTCAATTTACAGTTTAATTTTTCCTTTGAACAAAAGAAAAGAAAGTAAATACATTACTTTCATCTACATAATATCAGTAACCAACAATAATCTGTCAAGTTGTTCAAGCAAGATTTCAAAAAAAAAATAACGATGCTAAACTCCTTTACAGTCTGTTCAAGATTGTTATATTACATTATCAACTTCACTTTATTATAGTTTTAGTTTCGAAAAATATTCTTGCCACCTATCTTGTCGGAGTCATTTGTTTTGTTAGAAGTATAAACACAACCTACTTATCAAATTTTATCTTGTCTTCCCTAAGACGAATTATAAAATGCAACTTATACATATTGTTATGAAACCACGTTACTAATTTGCAATTTGATTACGTTTGTTTATCAAGATTTCCGACGAGAACTTGGACTTGGATGCGGGCGTGAATGTAACAACCAGTTTACTGTTGCCGAAAGTAGAGTAATCTGGCCTAAAAATACCGAAAGACATATAATTTAGCACAGACTTAATCGAAGGTAAGAAAAACGAAAACATTATAGTATAAAATTGCTAAAATCATACATTAAACAAGAATTGATGTATTAGTGAATGACTCTCTGATGAAGTTTTGATCAACGATATTAAACTTAGCTAATTTTTAGAAGAATTAAGCTTCAAGCGAAGTGGCAAAACGAAATCTGATCCTGATGAAATCTAATTCCATTGGTCCGCGAGCCTATTTACAGTTACGTTAAGGCATGCATGGATCTCGGTGCCAGTCAACATGCTTTAGGATTCATGACCGAAAAGCCAGTCAGAGGACCTTTGGTAATCGCTTTTTTGGAGACTTTGGACAAGAACGAGACAAAAAGAAAGAGAGAAACTTATCATGATCGTGGTGTCAATACTTTGAACGATTGCTACACGAGAGAACATTACCTTGCTGCTTGTTGCTACTTCATGCGACAAAATTCCACTTTTGGCACAAGAAATCGCCTTTTGTTTATGATCAGTCATGCGATCCTTTTGCGAAGTGAAACGGTTTTGGGTATGAAACTGCCCGACCTGCTCCAAAACGAGCTTAACGACCAAGGCGTTTCGCAATGTATAGCCTTGGTTGCTACAATCGCTTTTGGTAAGACCAACCAGGATGGAAAAACCGAGTATGGATCGGCTCTTTGCCACAACAATGTTGAACTTTGTCCAATTGGTGCTCTTGCAGTACACCTTTTCTCTCGGTTCCATTTTGAAAAAGAAACTTTTCCCGGCTTTTCGAGCCGTAAGAAATGGTATGACACCTACTTGTTTAATAAGAAAGGCAGCAAGGAATGTATTACCTACGCTGAGCAGGCTAAAATCTACAAGGAGGCATTTGCAGAGATTGGTATCAGCTCATCCAAGGTCACTCACATCAATCGAAAGAGTGCCCTCAACATGATGACAAACCAAAACGTTCCAAGTGACCAACAGCGTATGGCGGGTTGATGGAGCAACGATCGTATGGTGGGGTCGTATGTCGTGACATTACCAGTACAAGCAATTAAAGTACTTGCTGGTTTTACTGTTCGTGATGGCGATTACTTCTTGGCCATGTCTGTAGCGGCTCCTCCTGTTGGACTGGAAAAGTCGATCTTCCCTGAGATTGAGGCCTGGCAGGCAAAGTTAGATGCCAAGGAGACTGAAAAGGACATCGTTGTTTGATGCATTACTTGGGCAGGGTTCTTTCACAGGTAAAATAACAATAATTTTATTTCAGAATCACAGCATTAACTTTTAAATCTTTTTACGTTAGGACTCTGTTTTATTGAAGCAAAAGTGCCCGGATAATTATATGTGAACATGTCCAGTATTTGCAACCGAGGAATACTCTTAGTTCAAACGTCAGTCGTTAGCGTCAATTTTGGAGAATAATCGAAAGTTTTCCATCAATCATCAACTAACGAACCTAATGTCAGAGGTTGCGAACACGATGAAGACCGGCTTCAACTCTTTGGCGACATCATTGAAAGTTATACAAGCTCAAATTGACAGCATTGAAAACAAAGTAAATTCAACCGCTAGTGCCCAACAAAGCGACATGAGAGCCGTCACCGGTAACATTGCTGAGTTGTTGATGCATACCGCCGAACACCTCCAAAACCAGCCTGGTATATCCTCTGTGTCCAACTTCACCAGCATTGACAGCTCCTATCTCGGTTGATGAGGCATCCGGCGCAAATCATGACGACGAGACCCACATCAACTATAGGATGAATCGAAACTTGGTCACTGTGACTGATGCTTGGCGTGCGTATGGTGTGGGGCTTGTGGGTGGGGCACCAATTTTTTCCTTGAAGAACACCATGGTACAGGTTTGCGAAAGGATGATCGCAGAGAATCCTGGGTCTTGAGTCGAACTATCACATTTATGCGAGAGGTTAAACGGTTAGCTGCTCAGAACGGTATATCGAGTGAGCAGGCAGTTGATCAACTGGAAATAAGCCGTGTATAGTTCAACATTTCTTTGAAAAAGTGACGAAATTTGACATCCGGGGAGGACTAGACATTGTTGAGGCCGTTGTGCATAGAGTTATGTACTTTTTTTTCCAATAAAGTCCTTTCAAAAATAGTAAATCGATTTTTTTCTAGCCAATCGATGAACATACTCTTGTTGTTCCCTAATAGGTGGTATGTTACGGATAGTGTCTAGTATAGATTGTTTTCCTAACTGTTACAAATGTCTAACAAAACTACACATACAAAGGTGTAAAGGTGAGTACTTTTAAATTAAACCGTATTCATTTCTTCGATTCAATTACAAATATATCGCTTAACTGTTTTTAAAAATTGAATATTTAAATTTTGAGACGTAGTTGATGTAGAGTGCATCTTCATTGTAATGTGCCAAAACGTAATCTGTGACATTTTTGAGCATTCATCTCCGACTAGTACAAGTAATATAAAAGGAAATTTATTTATAGCCAGATTTTTTTAATGTGGGGAGAAATTTTTTTTTTTTTAAGAAAATTTTTCAGGGAAATATATTTTATTTGGGGGGAGTCTATATTTGTTTTTGTATTTTTTTTTTTTTTTTTAGATTGAAAGTCATCAAGGAGCAACTAAACAGCACGTCTGTGGGATCGATATTCTTTGGAAAACTTACTGATAATATCTTCAGCTTCCATGACATCGTTACCCTTGCTGTAGGCGTCAATATATCTATAAGAACGATTATAATATCGTCTATTGATTTTAGGACCGAAAACAGCCTCATCATGGTCAAGAAACTCTTCGATTCTTGACTTCAGAGTGTCAAACGAGTAACCACATTCTATTCGTGCAAATCGTTTAGCTGCACCCCAATGTCTTTCAATCCAATTGCACTCACAATGGTACTTGTGAATATGACCTTTCAAATACATAAATTAAAATAAACAGCTAGTTGGATCTATTTTCAAAATAGTCTTAACTATATCTTTTGAATATGAAGTGTTTCTACTTAGTACATAAAGTTTGTTTTATTCTTTTTGTGCCTTACAGTGTTGATCATATTTGATCTCAGACTCTGATATAACGGGTTGTGGCACTGTGTACTTTATCTAACGAATACGACCCTTCAAATACATAAATTAAAATAAACAGCTAGTTGGATCTATTTTCAAAATAGTCTTAACTATATCTTTTGAATATGAAGTGTTTCTACTTAGTACATAAAGTTTGTTTTATCTTTTTTGTGCCTTACAGTGTTGATCATATTTGATCTCAGACTCTGATATAACGGGTTGTGGCACTGTGTACTTTATCTAACGAATACGACCCCTCAAATACATAAATTAAAATAAACAACTAGTTGGATCTATTTTCAAAATACTCTAAATTATATCTTTTAAATATGAAGCGTTTTTACTTAGTACATAAAGTTTGTTTTATCCTTTTTGTGTCTTACAGGGTTGACAGTAAATGTCCTCAGACTTTGATTTAATAGGCTGCGACACTACGCATCCGGGTACTCAAATTGAGAGTACAGGCAGTAAGCATTTCATGGTCCGAAGGCGGCAAATACTATACGCGGGACAATACTATTGGTCGGAAAAGAAAAATTTAAAATTTTGAACCTGCTTGTGACAATTATTTCCCCCCACACCTAAAATCCAGTTGCAAAAATCCCGGACACACTTTTTTTTTTAGAATAAAAACTTCATATTCTCATTTTAATCATGATTAAAATGATGTCTGTCCAAACATATTGGACTTTAATTATGAGGAAAGTGTGGTGGTCCAGTTTTAACCTTTCTCTCTGCTTAAAATTTTTTTTTTGGCATATTGAAGTCCAGATGCACTCTACACAAAAATCACAAAGTCATTCAATCAAAATCCCTTTACGACTTCTTTTAAGACAGAAAAAAAAGTTTATTATTACCCTATTCTAAAATACAATTTATCGAAGGTTTATGTATCATGTAAAAGTCAACTCCAGTTTAAGCCCGAATTGTGATTTAAAAAAGCTTAATCAACTTAAAACAATTTGCAAATTGACAAATATTATTTACCTAAATTGGCACGGTGAGTACTGTAGCCAGCAAAGCAACATAAAAAATGACTCCACATATTCGGACAGCGTTTCGTCATCTAGAGACTATAAAACCGATAAAAAAAATTCCATTTGTTCTACGACAGTTTATGTTAACAATCCATTTACGTAAAGGAATCGACCAAACAGCTTTAGCCAAGTGAAAGAAATTTACACATGACAAAAACTAAGAAAAACAATCAAAAGGAAACGTCGTTTAATGTTGAATCAAAAATCGATACAAAAAATCGGCAACGAGATAAACTTGTGGTCATCACTTAAATTATAACGACAATAGCAATTTTATTTCCTATTAACAATTTTTTTATAAACAAAATACGACAGCAATTAACAAAAACAATATTTTGAATATATTTTGTGTACTTTTGGTGACCCAGCATGGTAATAGCAATATTACAACTAAAAAAGATTTATCCGTGCTGTTACCATTTGTGATGTAAGCTTATCGGCAAATTTTGTAGTGAAAACTGTTTAAATTTTAGTTCGGAAGGCTAATTTATTGCGTCTGAAAAATTAATTTAGATGTCGTTTAAAGCAAAAAGAGGGAAGAGGATCTAACACTTATTAAAACAGAACCAACTTAATTACTCTGTAATAATTATTTATATTTTCATAATTAATGAAACATTTGAGATGGAAATATACATATAAACACAGTATAAAGTTTTGTATATATGTACCTGTAAGTTACAGTTATTTACAAGTGCTATTTAAATCGGTTACTTGTAGCTGATTCAACCACAACTGGCCAATTGTATTTAATTAAATTCATCCCATAACCGCTCATTCTCAATGGATCTGAATATAACTAGCAGCTACAAAAAATCCTTTACGACAGTCCATGACGTTGCGTATGTCGCTGGCATTCTCAAAGTCATCATCTTCAAAATTGTTAATATTGTTAAAAATCATGATGAAGTCAGTTTTGTCATTAATAGATTTCTGGTAAAATACGGTGATCATGAGTTGATTTTAAATATACTGTTACAACGTCGGTGAGACACAAGATGATCTTTGTCTACTTAATGGAAAGTAAAGAATTATTTTCATTGACTGAGATGACTTCTTTGTAATTATTGTGGATGCTTAAAATAGTGTCTACCAAACCATCTTGCGATGGAGTCATCAGTAAAATTATGATTGTTCTGAGATTTACTCGCACACGAATATTTGTTTAAAAGACAAGATTAGACATATTAAGTGTGTATATCATCTCAAGTAAGACAAGGGTTGTACTTATTTGCTTTTTTTGAATAGGAAATTGGATGTCCTTTTTTATGGCTGACCTTCAGTTTCTAATTTTAAAGAAAGCTGGAACTTTACCGATATTTTGCTTCCTTTTTGTAACTGCAGGATGCTTGAAATTGTCTTATTATTAATCCGCAATTGATCCGTTCCAGGCGTCTTGTTGAATGCTTTGATCAGTTAATCTAGTTTTGTTCATGTGATATTAAACGCCTAAATACAAACGTAGACAACTTTTTTAGGCCATCTTTTTGAATAAATGACCTTTAACTTTTCGGCAAACATTACTTCATGTCCCATTTTTTAATTTGGGGTAAACGTTAATGGTTTACACACAAAAATGGAAATAATAAACGAAAATCTCGAAATGTTTTAAATATCTAGGGTGGTTTAATTTGAGGTTCATGCCTAAAAATAAACTCCGGAAAGGGTACATTTAAGCTTGAAATATCGGGGTTCTATTTTTTTTATTAAAATGTTGTATCTAGATTCAAATTACAGTACCTTTTCACTTAATAAACCAAACTAAAAACACTCTTCTTGAATATAATAACAAAATGCAGACTTTAATAGGGTAGTTATCATTCTTCAAAAATTGGGGTGTAAAAGGCTTATTTTTATTTATTTTATCTTTTTATCTAATTTATATTGTATTTAAATGAGACACAGTGTAACTGTTATCACCTAAGGACACATGTACTCTTCAATTACTCTACCAATATAAGGAACACACTAATATTAATTATCCTTCATTGTCATGTATACTCCGGGCCGGCAATAGCACCATATAACAAAAATACAATATCTGTTCATAAAATAATAAAAATATGATATTTCAAATGAGAAACTAGAGGGGAACAGGCTACGGATGGCTGAAGGACAAAACAACCATGGAGCTTCGAGACCTTCTTTCGATGCTAATGACTACATTTATTCACGCGTTAGATGAAACGCCGTCTAATCTTTCAGTCTTTTGGATGAGGCTCTCGTCCCTCAATAAACGTAAATATTCAATATAAACTTTAGATACGCCATTTAATTCTTAGAATTTTACTACTCTCACTTGTTTTGTAAGAGCATCAGCTGTGGTGCAGTTACACTTTTATTACCTAAATGCGTTATCTTCCGGTCGGACTACATAGATTTTGTCTTCTTTTAGAAAGTTCGCAGCGGTCAAAAAATAACTACGTTGATTTTTTTCTTCGACTTTTGTAAACATGAATACATATAACATAATCAGCCAATTCCTTGAAAACAAAGAAAAGCAAAGAAAATTCCAATTAGATCGTAGTAGAGAAACTTCATTGCACGCATTTAAAAAGAGAAAGACAGAATAGGGTGTCAAAGAGAAAAAGAGACATATTGACCGGGACAAAGATAAGTAACACTGAAGACTTCATAAGCAATACTTCGCCGAGAATCTTACGTGTCCAGACACTTACTTTCGTCGTCATTTTAGAATTGATAAGGAGTTGTTTTTGATAATACTTGGGGATTGAAAAACAAGCACATCGGCGCACTAGGTTGTAAAAATGAACCACTGGTTGATTTTTTGAACTTCCGGACGTGATATTGTACCACCACAAACTTACAATTTCTATATTTTTTTTCCTTTTTTTACATATCTACACATAAATTAAAAATAAAAAAGTAAAAGAACATTCACTTCATGGGACGATTCAATAGGGACGCTCAAATAAAATCGAGCCTCCAGGTTCCAGCTTCCAGCAAATTTTTTTCTTCGTCCGATGTCCAATAAAGATTTGCATAAAAAACTATGAACTTGAATGATTATTTTTTGTTTCCAGCTTTCAAATTCCGAACTTTTACCCAGAATAAGATTCGATTGGAGGAGGTCCTGAACATGATGTAATGAATCAATGAGTGTGGAATACACAAATATCTGGTAATGTATACAAGCACTATTCTGTGAGTTACTTTAGCGAAGAAACTCGTAATAGCTATTTTGTGTCACCTCACGTACACGCGGTTTACACACAACATCTGCATTAATAAATGATAACAACAACTTATAAATAATATCACAGCTTACAATGCACGCATGGTCCACACATGCTTACTGCAATATGTTCACATTATAAATCATTCTCTCGGCCTGCTCTATTAATTGACAAGTACCGAAAGGACTTTGTCAATTCCTATATAAACCATCCTCTAATTCAATAATAAAACGATATTCAATTTACCCAGTCTAACAATTACCTTTTTCTTTATCTTATAAACTGTCTATCTTGTTTGATAGAACAATGAGGAACGTATGATGAAAGATAGTAGAGAAAGATGTACTAGAAGAGGTCTTATGTCATTACAACGTATAATGTTTGGCTCCCGAAATGATGATGAGTGTTATATAAAAAAACGTATCGGATTGTCATTCATATCATCTGAAATATCACATAAAATTTTAAAAATGAACCAAACACCTGTCAACATTCAGCCTAGACCTCAACAAACTCAGGAACTAGAAACAACTCCACGTCTGTCTGCATCTACCCCTAAGCCCCAGGGAAGCTCCACGACTAATAGTCGTCCTGGTGTTAAAGACAAGATCCCGAATTCAAAGAGCTGGATCAATGGCTACGATAGTACTGGCAAGTGCTCTAAAGATATTGTGGTTGAATGGATGCTGGTAGGAGAAATTGGAGTGAATTCAGCTGATGTGAGAGTCAAAAAGCAGGTGAAGCCAAAAGCCAAAAAGGTATGGCGAAAAAGTTAGCTCAAATCCTCGTCAACAGAGGACATCATGAAAGAAGTACAAAACGTATGATAGAGACAATTACATATCTGAAAACATTATTTACCGCTACTGGATATGGTGTTGATCCTGCTGTTGATGGTAACGTCACTGTTGAAGGTAAGAAGAAAACTACTAACTGCTAACTATTATGCCGCTAAATTTGTTTAACTTACTATATCTAAACTTTTAGAGGAAACCACCCATTTTTTGAAGTGGTATTATGATCTTCTCCCTTTACTTGGCTCGGATCCACTTGTAAGTGGTGAAGGAATGCAGTCAAATGGGAATATCGTCAGTGGTACTCCTGATTTAAGTGCGTATGATGAACAGCCTGATCATGAAGACGATATTCATTCAACTAACATGGATGATGTTGATGATGTCAATTTGGATGATGATGATGATGATGATGATGCTTTACCCCTCTCTTCCACCAGATCACCTTCGCCTAGACAAAGTAGAGGAAAACAAAGGAGACTTAATGAGTGCATTGCCTACTTCTTTGAGAGACAAAAAAGAGCATCTCAAAAATATGAAGATCGTGAGGACGAGCTACTGGAGTTCCAAAGAGAAAAGAGAGATGACGAGAGAGTAGCAATGATATTCGAGAGACAAAAGCAATGACTGCTTTTAAATAAAGAACTTCACAAGTTAATAAGCTTTATATAGGAAGTCAATGTTGTATACACAAATATCTCGTAGTGTATACAAGCACTATTCTGTGAGTTACTTTAGCGAAGAAACTCGAAATAGTTATTTTGTGTCACCTCACGTACACGCGGTTTACACGCAACATCTGCATTAACAAATGATAAAAACAACTTATAAATAATATCACAGCTTACAATGCACGCATGGTCCACACATGCTTACTGCAATATGTTCACATTATAAATCATTCTCTCAGCCTGCTCTATTAATTGACAAGTACCGAAAGGACTTTGTCAATTCCTATATAAACCATCCTCTAATTCAATAATAAAACGATATTCAATTTACCCAGTCTCACAATTACCTTTTTCTTTATCTTATAAACTGTCTATCTTGTTTGATAGAACATTTTTTTTGTGAAGAGTATAATAATTTGAAACTATCGTTTGTTACCCCTTTTTCCACCAATTTTTAATTTTAAAAAAAAAAAAAAACTGTTGTCAATGACAAACCCTATGCTCAACGCTACCATCGCTACGCGGTCTAGAGCTGCCAGTACAAATTCTAGTAACAATGGTGTCATTGAACCCATTACTACTACTACTTCTTTGGATGTCTCTGACGATGCCAACACATCAGCTGACGACATCAATGACAGTGCGTCAGGCAAAATTTCAGCCACAACGACCACCAACATCAACTCTAGTAACATGGATCTAGATACAGCCAATATGAAATCCCTCGCAGATCTGGATCTCGACAACTTCATGGATGTCACGGAAGTCCTCCACAATTTCTAAGTAGAGACGAATGCTTTAATCATTAAATTGGTCGTAGCTACTTCCGCCAAAAACAAAGATATCAATATGGTAAATAGCTTACACCAAGAAGTGAAATCAAGACAATCAGTGTTGAAGACAATTTTGGAAGCACAAAATCTTACATCAGATTCAGATAAGGAAAGTGATGCAGACAACAACGGAGACAAGCGCTCTACAGTACCGAACAACATGCCCTTATTTAAGTGGAACACAGCCACCAATTCTGACACTGGTTTCAACAGCCTCAAGGAATGCCTAATGAGGTTCGAGGACATACTAAACGCCCATGATTTGAAGTTGGACACTCATTGGAGACGGTTAATCGTATATTGCCTGTCAGTTGAACAGAGAGCATGGTTGGATGATTTTGTTTTAGACAACGCAAACACAGCTATATTGTACCACGATTTTAAAGCAGCTTTCATACAAAACTATGGAATAACCACGGCTGAGGAACAAGCTTTAGCGTCAAACATTTTAATGACTATATGTATGGAACCTAACGAATCAATCGAAGTATTTATCGAAAGATTTATACAGTTAAAAAGGCAAGCAGCCACTGTCGATCCCACGATCCTGATCAGTCGTTTTATCAATGCACTCCCCGTCGAGCTATCTAATCAAGTCACTTTTATCCTAACAGGTGCAAGTGATACCAATAAGCGTTCGCTTATTTACGTCATGTCTTTAGCTAAAGATCTTTACACCAAGTTATTTCAGTTTAGTAACAACTTGAACATGTTGAATAGCAGTAACAATGGGAGCAGCAGCAGACAACACTTGACGGGACGTCAAAACAATCTGTATGAAGGTCACGTTGCAAAGAAAAGACCTATTACGAATAGCAACACTTGTATCTTACACAAGAACGGTCGTCACACTAGTGAGGAATGTCATACGTTAAAAGCCGCGACTAGTAATCTCAATAAAAATGGTAACTCTAACAGTGAGCACCGACCTCCTCCTCCCACCAATCGAACATTCTTTGCCAATAACAGGAATCAAAATGATCAACCTAGACGCTGTTTCCAGTGCGACTTCACTCCTTGGACAAAGGATCACGTTTGTGCCACCAACAATGCTAATGAACAACCATTGTTGACCTTTCGATCTATGACACGAATCAACAACACTCGTCCCACGACTTTCCCCACACCACCTCCTAACGTGGATGAAGACATGGAAATGGATGATCCTGAAGAAAGCTTTGACAAGTTTTCCAAAAGCTGTAAGTTAAACATAAAGAACAGATTTGAAGACAATCCTCCTTTATTACCAATAGAAACTAACTCTATTATCGTTCCGATCATTTTAGAAGGTATCAAAACATGGGCGCTCATCGATAGCGGAAGTTCATTTTCATGCGTAACCCCTTCTTTGTCAACAAAGATTACCAATTTAAAGTTTTCCCCTTCCATCATTTACAATAAAAATCAATTTATTAAACTAGCACATAAAGAATCCTTTATTGAACGTATCGGTATACTACCACAATTAACTATATCGCATAATGGTATTACCTTAAAACATGATTTTGAAATATTCGATTTTAACTCTGCTTGTGAGGTTTGCATTGGGATAGACCTCATGGATAAGTTAGGAATTCACTTTACGGGATTAGGCACATCTTGGAATAAAAGTAATAATCCTATTGTTCCCGACCCTATTGATCCTTTTGCTTCTAAAGAGCAAATAGATAAACACTATGGTACACCAGAAGAGCGCCAAGCTTTAATGGACGCCATATTACCATTAGTTGAAATAAATCAACAAATACCCACCACTTCGGAATGTACATTACCAGGTGCCATGATTACTTTAGAATTACCACCTAACGCCACAGCTCATAAGAGTCAATATCCTATTCCCATTGCATACAAGGAAAAATTGTATACCCAAATGAAAGATTGGTGGGACCAAGACATTATTACATTAGCACCAGCCAATACCACCTTCAACAGCCCTTTGCTTTTTGTCAAAAAGAAGAATGTTCACGGGGAATACACAGGGGATGCTAGAATTACCATTGACATTCGGTTGGTTAATCAACAGCTTCTAAACAATGATCGTTTTATCTTACCTGCAATTAAAGATCTACATCAGAAAATGAGCGCATTCCAACTGTTTAGTACCATTGACTTAAAACAATGTTTTCATCGATTTCCCATGGAAAAAAGCTGTCAACCATACACCAGTTTCACATACGAAGGTCAACAGTACATGTTTAAGCGTGCTCCTTTTGGTATTACACATGTGGCAAATCAGGTCCAAAGAGCAATAGCTACACTCTTCCAAGATCTTCCATCCGTTACGGTTTATATTGATGACATCCAAATATCCACCCATAACGATATGGCCTATCACACTTTGCAACTACAAGAAGTAATGAAACGGTTAAACAACTCGAACTTGATCATGAATTTAGATAAAGCTAAATATGCTCAATTTGAAATTGACGTGTTGGGTTTTACCATTAATAAGAACGGCCTATCATTGAATAGTAAGAAGCTAACGGATTGCATGAATTGGCGTATACCCCAAACGGGAAAGGACATTCAACGATTCCTTGGATTCTGTAACTTTTTTCGAGCCAATCTGTGCTCTTACTCACGATTCACACAGTCTCTTGACAAGCTGCGTAATAAGGGGTCGCTGAAAGGCATCTGGACCGAGGTACATTTAAAGGCTTTTCGAACATTACAATATGCTCTGTCACACGCGCCTGTGTTATCCCCTCCAAACTTCAAATATCGCATGCACGTTGCCAGTGATGCCAGCGCCTACGGTATAGGTGGGATCATTTACCAAGTTATCCACGATAAAATATATTACATCTCATTCGCTGCGAGATCCTTAAGTAAACACGAGATGGCCTATAGCACCAATAGACGGGAGATGTTAGGTTGCATATACTTGTTTACCAAATTCAGACATTGGTTGTACTTACGCAAATTTACTTTGCATGTCGATCATCGTAGTCTGATTTACATTAACACCCAACCGGTTCTCAATTCTATGTTACTGGGCTGGCATGAAACAATTCAAGAATTTGATTTCGACGTTGTCCACGTTAAAGGCATCGCAAATATCATACCAGACGTCCTATCACGTTTATTTGAACCACTCGATGCTTCTTCCAATCACGGTCCCATGACAAATGTCTCCATGTCACAAACACCTAACGAGTCTTCAAACTTCGAGGGGGGTAGTATGTCCACGAACATAAAGAAGGACAAATTGCATGAAACAAAAGATAAAGAAAGAAAAGAAACGGTTTCAAAAAATAATAACACAGACCTGATTAAGGCAGAGAATGCCCTGGCTGAAATTGAGCAGTCACTTGCAGCTAAAGACAATGCAATGAAAGAGCTCAACCTTAAATCAAACAATGAGCAATTAATCATTCGAAAATCTGAATTAGCAGATTATATGACTCCTCCAGAAAACGAGCGATCAAAAATAATTGAAAGACATCATCAGCTAGGTCACTACGGCATCAACGCGATTGAAACAGCCATACACAATGATTTGTTACATTGGAAAAATCTTCGAGAAGATATAAAAAAGGAAATAGCAACCTGTCAAAAATGTTTAGCATTCAACATTGGTAAGCACGGGCACCATCCTCCTAGATCTATATTACCTGATGCTCCTGGAACACATTACGTTGCAGATTTAGGTACTTTCTCAGTTACAAGCGCAGAAGGAAACAATTATATCCTAGTAGTAGTGGATCTTTTCTCACGTTTTACAATTTTACGAGCCATACCAGATAAATCCGCAATCACCATTGCAAAACAATTTTTAGACATATTTACGTTGTTTGGATGCGGAAGGATACTCCAAACAGACAACGGGTATGATTTCTGCAGCTCTCTTTTAGAAGAAGTGTTAGTGCAATTAAACATCCAACATCGTACAGGATTACCTTATACCCCGCAGTCTAACGGTACGTGTGAAGCATTTGTATCAAAAGCCAAATCCACTATTGTAAAAAGCCTACAAGGTACAAATCACTTGTGGGATATTTATTTACCAAGTACGCAATACTACTTAAATCTAAAGTACAGCCGGTTACATCACAGTAGGCCATTTACTGTCATGTTTAATAGGCAACCTAATGATTTTGACGCTGACTACTCTAAAGACACAGGGTACGTGACTAATAAGACGATTGATCCGAAAGCTATTAAAGAAAAGCTCGATCAAGTTACAAACCTAATTATACCAGCTTTGAAAAAACGCATCAAAGAAACGCAAGATGCCGATAATAAATATTTTATGAAAAGAAATAAAATAATCTATACGCCATTCCCCATCGGCAGTGAAGTTATGATAAAAAACGTACTACGTAACTCCAAAACTGAGCCCAGATATGAGGGACCTTTCACTGTATCAAATTACACGTCCAATGGCAGCTACATACTAGTAGACAAGTCAGGGGCTCTGTTGACAAGAGATATACCTACGTCGCATATAAAATTAGTATCTACATCTAACGTAAAACCGGAAAATGAAACTGAGTTACACTACGAGGTACAGGCGATCACGGATCATAGAGGTCAAGCCGGAAATTATCAATACAAAGTTAATTGAAAAGGTTATGATTCGAGTCACGATACCTGGGAACCAACTGAAAGTTTTGATTCTAAACAAGAAATAGAAAAATATTGGGCTCGTAGAAAAACGCCTGTAACTACTGGTCATGCACGACCACCTAAGACCGTTAATAAAAGGACGATACCAGATAGAAATGCGTACTCCTTAAAAAAGCGATCAAGAAATCTACAATTGAAAAATAACAACTTATAACAACGCGTTGTAAACATATACTCAATTAGTTATATCAACCGGAAGATCTTCAACACGCTCTACATTATTTATAAGGGTTTTAGTACAAGCTCAACAATAAAGACAACGTTACACGCAGATCACGAACCATAAAAAGTACGATACATATTTTATTTATACATCTACGACATGGAGAATCAACTTACATACATGCAGAATACAATGATAGAAAATACATACACATTATCACAAGTTATGTTTCAGAACTTAACGACAACTTTACTAAAATACGACACAATATTATGCTTGTCATTATCTGCGATATATTTGTGTTACGACTATTATTTCTTAATGAAACAAGGATTAAACACATTATAAATCTTAATTCTTAAAAAGATAGATACAATCTCCTTTCGTTGGGGGTAATGTTGTATACACAAATATCTCGTAGTGTATACAAGCACTATTCTGTGAGTTACTTTAGCGAAGAAACTCGAAATAGTTATTTTGTGTCACCTCACGTACACGCGGTTTACACGCAACATCTGCATTAACAAATGATAAAAACAACTTATAAATAATATCACAGCTTACAATGCACGCATGGTCCACACATGCTTACTGCAATATGTTCACATTATAAATCATTCTCTCAGCCTGCTCTATTAATTGACAAGTACCGAAAGGACTTTGTCAATTCCTATATAAACCATCCTCTAATTCAATAATAAAACGATATTCAATTTACCCAGTCTCACAATTACCTTTTTCTTTATCTTATAAACTGTCTATCTTGTTTGATAGAACAGTCAAAATAAAGTTTGTCAGGCACAGACTGATGTCATATTTACGTCATTGATGAAGCATTAAAACTCAAAATAATTTTGGGTCCTCATTCGTAAAAATGTAATTATATTTATGCTTGGCTAATTTTTTTTATTCAAAAAATATTATTTTTTAAAACCTCGACGACTGAGGACCCCTAATATAGTCCCGTGCTCACTTTTCTTGAGAACTTTTATCTTAAACTTCATGTTTATTTCATTCTATTATTTTTATTCAAACTCGCCTATAACCGTATACTTGGTTATTCTTTTGGCTTTGTTCAATTTAAAATTACTGTATTATAGTCAGTCATAGTGATAGAAATAAAAATGATATTTATTTGGAAAATTAGAAGACTCTTGTAACATTCTTTTATATTACTTCGGTAGAATTACAATGGATTCTTGTCTCCTGAAGCTTCCTGATGTCAATTGTCTTGGTGTCCGACAAATACGTATATTTGACCAAGCTGTACAGCTTGGCCAATAATATTTTCTGCGTGAAAAGGTAATCTTTTATAACTCTGTAGAACTAAAACTATAAAAATTCAATTGGAACACCCATGCTCTCACGCAACAACCTTTATCCTTGGTTGGTCGATCGATTCCAATTCTGTATGAACAGTAGTACCGGCAAGACACAGAATTTTTTTTTACAAAAAATACAATAGATGGGAGCTCAAGAACTAGTGATACAATGTGAGTAGTAGTGATTGGTTTAGATTTAGTTTTGACAGTAAGGTAGAAGGAGAATAATACACGTTTGTAGTTAATTATTCAGTTCTAAGTGAGCCCCACGTTGTTTTATATAAATATATAATAAATATATATGGTAACGATCCAGTTAAGTAAAATAAAATAAAAGGTCTTGATAGACAGATACAGAGAAAAAGAGACTAAGGCTTCGGTTTTTCTAGGGAGACAGTAAGATAATAGGCCAATTATATATATAAGATATAGTGTTCGGAATGAAGATCGAGACACTCGAGCGAGCTTCGATCGTGTTCCAGTCGAAGCTCGCTCGGATACGTTTTTTTGCAGCTCGAGCTCGCTCGAAGTTTCTTAAGCTGGGCTCGGTTGCGAATACGATAGCTCGAACTCGCTTGCACTTTTTATTACACAAAGTGCACGTCAAAGTGATGTTAATTACAGAAAATTATGATAATAAAATTGTTATTTATTGAAATAGAAGTTGGAAAAAGAAAAAGAAAACTTTTTTTTTTCACCAGCCTTAACACCAAATTCGGATAATTAAATCAAACTATTACTGCATCTAAAATTATGATACATTTGGATTTGTGAACATGAAGGTTTAAATTAATTATGATACATTTGGATTTGTGAACATGAAGGTTTAAATTAATTCTGTTACGTCATGTTACTATGGTTGCTGTAAAAAATTGGCTTAGTTGGGTATAGTGTGCAACACTGTTTCATTTTCTATGGTAAATGTGTTTGTTGGTTGTACAATTAAATAAAAGTCCAAAGCATTTTAATTGGAATTATTAGAGCATAAATAAAAAAAAATGGTAAAGGGAAGAAAAGATTAAAATCAAGGGGAAATGCCATCTGTAGTCTTTCAAGTACCTTAACCTTAAAGTGACTACTATCGACATTTTAGCCGAGCGAGCTTCGAGCGAGCATCGATCGAAGCTCGCTCGAACCCAAAAAAAGTGGCGCAAGCTCGAGTACAAAAACTCGGTTCGAGCTTCGTTCGAACTGGCGCAAGATCGGTGCAAGCTCGAAAAGTTCGAACACTAATAAGATATAATATTTGATAGGCAAGTTTATGATAAAAGCATATAGTAAAATCTGAATGTTATTGAAATATGTTTTATTTTAAGGTTTATATAGTTTTTGAGAAATCAAAGGATCGGTAACGATACCCTTGATTTCGATTAAATAATAATAATAATAAATATGTCAAAAGGTTTTAAATATAAAAAGGTAAAGATTCAAGTTAGAGAAGTACAATGCTAAAAGTTAGCATGAAAAATATAAATTGTCTGAGTAACGTTTTTAGTGTTGAAGTCAATTATTACATATTGAAAATCCGCATTGTAACACCAGGTTTAGTTCAGGAAAAAAAATTTCTTAAGAAAAAACAGCATCTGTTACAAATCTTGGGTCAATATCATCGTCTCACGTTTCTGTGACAGTTTTTAAAAAATGATTTCTGCCAGACTTGAACTGGCGACCGTCTGCGTGTTAAGCAGACGTGATAACCGACTACACCAAGAAACCATCTTGTTCTGCTACCAAATTATTGACATAAAAATTCTTTCTAAAATTTTTATTTTATAAGATAACTAGCGTTTTTTACTACTTTAAACGAAAGAACAACTCTTTGCAATCATTTCAGTGAAATCCCCAACCCAAAAAACCAAGATCTCGTTAAACAGCAAGGACATCATTGTCACCAGTGATTCTCCAAACGAGATCCGAACATTAATGGAAGAAAAACAAGAAATAGCAACTACAACCAAGGAAACACCTCCTGAAGTTGTTACCTCTGATAGTAGATCAATTTTACCTCTCAAAAGACATCACTCCAAAACCGCTGCAACTTTTCTGGGAGATATGGTTCTCTCCAAAAAAAAGGCACCGGCTACAAGCACTGCAGTAACTGAATCATCCAAAAGCACTTTTAAGCTACTAGGTCAGAAACAACAACCCAATCGCAATGCTACTGAAAATAAGGGGCTTAAAACACCCTCCAGTGGAAACAGAAAGAACTACTCTACCACCGTTGCTGACAGCACCGAAACGGTAAAAGCGAGTGACTTTGACGACATCATAATGGAAGAATTCTCTTTCGGTGAAACCTCAACATTCTCCAACAAAACCAGGTCACCATTGAGCGATCTATTGGTGGGTGAGGATGCACCTAAATGGGCTCGTTTAATGGTAAAGCAACTCGAACAGCACGCCAACCAGCTCAACCAGTTGGAAGCAGTACTGAATGAGAATGCCAAGCTACGCAGTGCCTTAAAACAAGCCAATTCCAGAATTTCCATGTTAGAAGGCAAAAACCCCGCCTCTAAATTAGGAGATCGTTTTAATTTCTCAGTCCCTGAGGATCACCTCAAGAAATTAGGAACACAAGCGTCAAAATATTCGGATGCTAACTTTCCTCAAGCAAAGTCAACTCGTGCAAAGGAATCAACTGTCGACAATAATGTCAACAAAGACAAGGCTCCAAAGACTAAGAAAGTACCGTCTTTTGCTGACATTACCAAACAGCAGGTACCTACAAAACATAAATTTCGCAGCGTTACGGCAAAACAACGTAAGACCGCAGCACGTATTTTCGAAGCACCTGTCAATCGTGAATTATCCGGTAGTGGATCCTACAAATATCTCTATTTACCTAACAAATATAGAGACCGTTTAAAGGCTTTTCGTGACAAACTTAAGAAATTAGGTATCGATAATGGCCGTATTTTGGATATCAACTATCCCGCTCGTGGTGTGGTGGCTCTCCTGATTCATCAAAACTACGAAGTCGAGATTGTAGACATATTCCAAAAGTTCAAGATTGATCCCATCCCAGATTTTAATCCTAAATCTACTGATCATCTTACGGATCCAGCTCTTGCTGAGTTGGACACTGATACACGTACTTCCAAGGCGGTTGAATTTCATCAAAATAGATTGATAAAAGCTATTGGATATATACGTAAGTATCTTCGACGTTCTGTTGCACGTGATTTTATTTCACAAGGATGGATTTCAGACGATCAAGCTCGTCAGGCTTTAGCAGACGGCGATATTAAGGATAATAGCCGGATGGAGGCGCAGATCGAAAAAAACAAAACGATCAAGCCCAACAGCTCTTTTGTCAGGAAACACCAATCAGGTGCTCAACAAAGTGGATCTCGCACAACAACTACACCAATAACCCGATCAGCAAAAGACCAGAGGCATATGGATAAAATTGATCAAGCTATGCTGGATGATGAACACTTGGCAAAGATTTTCGGCGGTAGCACAGAGGTAATAGATTTAATGGAAGAAGACACTGACACTACCATTCAATCTGGATCTACACAACAACAAAAACAAACAACAACTCCTTTAGCTGGTTCAGGTGAAACTAGCCCCCATCATTAAATGAGTACTACCAAGGATCTCACCATCACCATATGGAACGCAAACGGTCTGGTTCGTCAAGAAACTGACCATGTTACTAATAATCTCTTTAATTCCGATCTCATATTTATCACCGAAACCTGGCTTCTCCCTCCTCTCCAGTTACAAACAACAAAAAATTGGACCCAATATCACACTTTTGGATCCAAAGCACAAGGCACCAAAACATGGCGTGGACAACGAGGAATCTCTCTATTAATTAATCCTAACTGCCATTACAATGTTACACACTTACACCTCTTTGCTCCAGAGCATAAGTATAGCCAATTTATTTTCTCTTGCCAAATTTCAGATATTTTAATCCATTGTGTCTATTTGCCACCCTCTCTATCTGATGAATTTGCTTTAGATCTTCTTGAATCTCTTCCAAAAACAACACATCACTCACAAAACAACACAATTATTTGTGGCGATTTCAATGCTAGAAATTCAATCCTGTTAGGTGACACACGATCATCCGCTCGAGGCACCAAATTAGGCGACTGGATTACAGTAAATGGATTAACCTGCTGGAACGCCATCTTAGCAAAAGGTATACCCACCTATACTTCCGCTAGCCGAGGTGTCAAGAAAAAATCCAAACCCAATATTCCTGAAGTTTTAAAACTCGTGGATGATGATTCACCTTCTGACTCTGAACATGATGACGATGTAGGTACCGAGAGTGAGGATGACACACAGAATGATCATGAGGTATCAACTGCATCGACACTTTCATCAAGAAAACGACAAGCTGGATCCAAATCTTTTCAGAGTATCATTGATCTGTTCATCTCGTTAAAGGATCTGATAAATCCCTCAATGTTGGTACATCAAGATCACCATATGGGATCTGACCATGTACCAGTGTCGCTCTCATTTAGTATGACTAGTAACCTACCGCCACCATCTGCGCATCCAAGATTACTATGGAACCTTTCCCGATTAGGTCAAGAAAAATACCATAAAAAATATATCTCACTCTTTACAGAAAAAATTTCACCACTCCACCTGGAACTCCAACAGGAGTTACAAGATGCGATGAGTAATGGTACTTCAACACACAACGACAGCGATCCACCTGATATCAACTATCTGGCCAATGAATTGACAGACATTATCCATCACTGCTTGGATCTATCTGTCGGACGTAAAAAACCAAAACAGCCTGGTGATGCCTACTTTTGGACGCCAACTCTGCAAAAATTATTGGATACAAGGGATCAAGCACACCGTGCCTGGAAACGCTGTTCCAATGGCTTGAACAAGGCACTAAAATGGGTAGAATATACTGATGCAATGGCCCTATACCGGATCGAATTAAAACGACAACGTAGAGAGACATGGAAAAATTTTTGTAGCAAATTGTCAGATGGTTCCTTTTCTGAAACCACATCCATCATCAAAAAATTACGTAGAAAAAAGGTAATCTCACCCTCTTTCTCTCACCCTGAAGGTCCAAAAGCAGCAGCCACTGTAATGGCCCGACATTTAAGAGGTGTTTTTTCTGGAGACACTCTCCCTGAACTACGTCCTTCTGCCCCACTGATACCAATGGGACCAGCAATAACGGATCGTGATCAACCACTTTTCCATGACCTACTAGAAATACGCATGCCAAAGCTGATCCCACCAAAACCAGCAATAGGCGGTGTTTGTATTCCTCCAGTAGCCTGCGATTACAAACTTGGTGAATGTCCTTTTACAGTCGATGAGGTGATTATTAGCCTCCAGTACAAACTGGCTCGACGAAAAGCACCTGGGGTTGACCATCTTCGAACTGAAATGCTCATACCTATATGTGATGCCATCGCTCCAATTCTGGCTATGCTCTACAGCTTGTGCTGGATTTGGTCTATTGTACCCAAAGCATGGAACACGGCTCAAGTCGTACCCATATTTAAAAAAGGTGATCCCTTACAAGCCGCCAATTATAGACCTATCAGTCTCACATCTATACTACGTAAGCTGATGGAATTGTGCCTGACAAGAACACTACATGCAACATCCCCAGATCTTGATATCGTCCAAGGTGGTTTTCGAGAACGACGGTCAACTACTGATCAAGCTCTTGCTTTACATGAACTTTGCCGACAACATAAAGTGGACCATATGGGTGAACCCCCAATTCTCTGTTTTTTGGATATTAGACAAGCATATGACACGGTCGACCGTAACATTATTTGGAGAGCTCTTGAGCTTACTGTTTCCGAACAAATGCTTGGTTTACTGCAATGTCTTTTCGATCAAGTTTCCATTGAGGTACTTGTTGCAGGCGAAAAATCCCCAGTGTTCTGGCCTGGTACTGGAGTTTTACAAGGGTCGATTTTATCCCCATTTTTGTACTCTATATACATCAACACCTTACCCAATCTGCTAAGATCAATTAGAATACCATCCTCTTCCCGACTTTTTGATGAGGTCCCGAAGCGTCTCTATAATGGTCTCTGGCTCAATTCACTTCTATATGCGGACGATGTGGTCATTTTGGGCACATTCGAAACCATGCCACGGTTACTGAAGATGGCCGAACAACATTCATTTGAACTGGGTTACCGGTGGAATCCACTGAAAAGTGTGATTGTCAACTCACCCAAGTACATTGGCTCCTCACCCCTCAAACTTTACGGCTCTCCAATTCCTTGCGCAGACCATTTTAGCTATTTGGGCATCCCATTCAACAGCAATGCAGAGATAGATGTTACTATGCTCATTGAACGAAACACTCGATCAGCAATCGTGGCTATGAGAACTGGAATTCAACCTCTGGGAGTGCACTCTCCGTGTTTCTCTCGGCTCACCACAGCTAAACTCTACACTACGTTTATACGATCAAAAATGGAATATGGTCTAAACATTGCACTGTTGCTAATCAAACACAACAAATTAATGGAAAAGGCCCAAGATCAATGTCTTCGATTGGCGTTTGGTGGTCACAAAGCGGCTTCAACAACCGTCTTTAAACACCTCACCAACCTTCCCCACATGGGTGAACGTATCGACATGATCCGCTTGAAGAGTAATGTACGCATTTCAATGCTGCCTACATCGACTCTCATTGGGTCATTGTTACCTCATTTAACCACAGCTCCTATCTCGATAAGATTCCAATGGCCCCGTCTGTTAAATACGTGCAAAATTTGGCCTACCATTAACACTCCTCCCAAGTACACTTCGTACCAACATTGGATCGAAGTCAATGATAAGAAGCTTGCCCCTGCCATATTGAAATTCCGACAACAGCAACTTAATATCAGCCTTACAACAACTACTGGCAATATCCTCCTCAAAGCATGTCGACCGTATATTGGCGTAGACCCAATACTACAATTACCTATGACCACCTTCGAAAGAAGCCGATTACTCCGATGGCGTATGGGCTGGCTCCCTGCTCGTCGAGTACCATGCTCACGCTGCGACCACCATCATGCATCAAGGAATCATTTGGTTGACTGTCTTCGGGTAGCGGAAAAATTCAATATAGCTCCTACAAGCAGCCCAAACCCGTTAGACTATATCATCAACCAGCTTCCAAAATGGTCCAGTCTCTCACCGTCTATTAAACGACAACAAACCCACACATACCATAGATGGCTATTTTGGTGGCCTATCCTATCGGATATCATGCTGGAAATCGACCAGATCTGCCAGCCAGATAGTGTCTTCTCCCTCGAGGCCTCTGATTGTACTGGTAATACCACCCTCAACTGGCTTCTGCCATATCATCGACAACAACAAAATAGCATTGCTATCCCGCCTCTTAAATCCACCTTATACTGGTACATGGACGAAAGTTCATAAACCACGTCTTTGAAATCCTTCTTCAACTCTCAAATATCTTTTTCCCTTTCGCCTTTTTTCTTTCTTTTTTTTTTTTTAAAAAAAAAAAAAAAAAAAAAAAAAACAACAACAAACAAATTTCCGTCTCCGTACAATTCCTGCAGTTCATAGATCTGTCAAAACGCAATTCAAACCTTATTCATATTTATCATATTTTATATCTTCACTTTCCACAGCGCTTATAGCCTCGACCCCAATGATTAGATACTTGCCCACCATAGCCCAATCTTACTATCATATACTTAAATAAAATCTTTTGCCTACACCAAGAAACCGTCTTCTTTTTTGTTAACCTCAAATGTTTACTGGACCCTTACGTGATAACCAAGCACGTGACTATCACGTGAACCTATTCCTATTGGCCAGAAGAGTACTCTTCTAAGTACAAGTACAAAATAAAGTATGAGATAAAAGATAAAGATTTATTAATTATAATGTGGGGTTATTTATACTATCTAATTTGATTGATGTTTCATATGTATGTAATTGTTTTATGCTAAGTTAGTTCATGGCTTTGCTTGTTTGTTCTTATGACATATAGTTTTGATTTCTTGTTTGGTCTTGTTTTCGTGACCTTTGGTTTAAACCTTCGTTTAGGTCTTGTGAGTTCCATTGCGTCATAGTAGTTCTCCGTACCGGGCTGTTGTGCCGGAACTATTTCATTGGCTGGATTGGTTCTGACATTTTGATAAGGATTTCTCTGTCTGTTATGTTTACCTTCGCTTGGAGCGGGAATATAAACACAGTACATACTAATATACAAGGAGACTGTAAAGACTTGCAATTAATAATATACAACAGAAGAAATAGGGACACTATGGCGGACATACCAGCAGCTGTGAATTAAATGGAAACATAACTACCATTTTTTTAATTGCTCGATATCCCCAGCCAATAAGATTCGAGAAAAATATTACTACAAATGATAATAATATCATAAAAAAACAAAAGTGCTTCAAAAAGATTTCTGGAACCGTCAATATGTAGTTTAGATGTTATAAAAACTATCTCGAAGTTAAAATTAGATTGCTATATGCCAAAAATTTGATGCAATATTGATCCGAATTTGATGGGTTACGGTATAAAAAATAATTTTTTTGCGCCTGTGAAGCAAATGGTAACAGACTGCCATTTTTTTATTATTTTAAAAACCAGATTTATTTATTTATTTTTTTTAAAAAAAAAGGAAGTTCCTTTTTTTCGGTTCTGTGATTCTTTTATTATCATTTTGCCCCAAGAAAATATGACCTTATTCTATTCGACATGTGTTCCATAAAAGAAAAGAAAAGTAATGAAACGAATGGCAATTACAAAAACTTACAAAATGGAAATGTTTCCTTTATTTGCTTGAAGATTATCGTTGAATACATAGTAGGAGGCAATGACGTAGAACTGGTTTCCATTGGGAGGAAACTCAATTAACCCAACTTGATGTTCAATGTCTGCCACATTGATGACCGCGAATGTTGCTTGTGCTGATCCTGAACGAGCCTTGACAATTGGAACAGACTTGTCGTGTCGGGCCACGTCGTGGTGTTTCATGACTTCGACTAGCGCCAAAAACTGTGGGATGTTATTAAGTCAACATGCTTGAAAAAGAACTGAACAGCACCTACAAGCCAACAGCGAAGGGAAACGTGGAAGTGGCTAAGGTAAAAATAGAAAAAGAAAAAGGAGTTAGAAGCTAACTCAATGAAAACAGGAATCGACTTACTTTTTATAGCTGGTGGTGAACATCACGTAATGGTTTCCCCGACTTATCTCGTTCCTTTGTCTTCGGTACATGCTGGAGGAATAAACATTGTTGTTTATCCAAGCACGAGAAGCAATGGCAATTTCAGAATCACCGAAAGAAGTAGCAGCATTCACACCACTAGATCGTCGGTAATATCTAGATAAGGCATTCCTTTACTCGGCTGCATCTGATACCTTCTATCATCTCACCATCCAGAGAGGCGTTACCACCAAACGGCGCCCAAAGCTGCACATCATCCAGGCTATCAGGAAGATACATGAAATCGATGTTACCTAGTCCGGCTGGTACGATCAAATCAATTTTCCTCGTAATATCGATAATGCCGTTGATGAAATTACGAATTGCAAATCTTTCAATGAGCATACTTGCATTTCTACCGCCCATTCTTCTTGATTAAATTAGATTTCGAGTATACACCAATCGCTCTTTCCATGAGATCTTGCAGAGTAACACCTCAAGGGACCTTGTTTCTTGATGATGTATGGAACGTGAATTAAGTAATGTTGTACAGGACGAAACACGCTCCGAGAGATGTTTTTCAGATTGACCTGCTCCAGAAGATACGTGTGCCAAGTCGCAAAGAAGCTGTCAATGGTAATTATTTCTGTTAAATAACTGATATCCCAATACTGTAGTATACTGACTTACCCCTCCATTTCATTGATAAGATCTGGTATAAGATCCCACTGCAATGCAAGAGCACAACCTTTGACCAAGCCCAGGACGTTATTTTTGGCAGACCTGTTAGGCAGGTAGGGCACAACCAGTGTGGGAACAATGTACAAAAGGAAGTCCAACCAATCCACCGCACGTGTACCATCAATCTTTTCAAAAACATTGTCGAAGCTACCCTGGAAAGAAACAGGGACATGCTTTCTCGATGACGTGATGCAATCCCCACTAATATCCAAATTGTTTCTTGAGATGTAGAAAGGATAGTTGGCGATTGAGACGGTTTTATCTCGCTTTGCATAGTAGTACTTTTGATCTTTGGAAATTTCTACTGTGATCAGATCGTATAAATGTTTGCCGATACCTCTGGCTATAAGATGGAGCTCATCCAACCCAAAATATGAGGAACCGGTAAATGTCGATAGCTCACTGAAAACACTAGGTTGGTAAATGTTTTTTATCTATAGTAGGTACACATTATTAGTCTCGAGAAAACAAAAGGTCAAGTCATTATACTTACAGGATTTCCAGTTATGTAGTCTTGCAGTGGTCTCAATGGGGTAGAACTATCGTCGAAATACTTTCCATGAGACTTATTGTCTGAACTTCTCCCTTTCGATTCACAAAAACTACAACCGTATGTACTGGTATGAGAACCGTTGTGAGCCATATCCGCCACAGCTGGAATATCACCAGAGGCCAGCAACAAATATACTTTGGAGCGACAGATTTCGATATCACCACGTTTAACAACAAGCCCATGGGTTTCCAAATCCTTTAACTCGTCGATGATGGGTCGCAAGAATGAATCCAGATGAGTAGGTTTTTTAGGACCAGGTAAAATTGCTAGCTGTAACATATGCTCGTTTGTGTATCTAATGTCTAGTGTTTAGAAAGTTGTAACTTTTAAGACCAGTATAATTGTTACCTGATGGAAGAATCAAGATTGAATATCACAACGTGGATGATTGTAAAAGAATTTTTGCCCTTCTTTTGGTTTACAAACCCATCCGTGTAAAGACCAATGGCGATATCGTCAGGATCGGAGAAAAATCCCTTTCTTACCAGATCCTTGTAAATTTGCCCATCGAAAATATCACTCATTTGCATGTTACTTGATTCCCTGTTGGCTCTATAATTTAGAAGGTCTCTAGTGTGCGGATCAGCCAACATATTGGAAAGAAGATCACCGATAGACATCAATTTTATACTGGCGTTGGGGACCTTGATCAATTCAGTGCTAGTCTTATATCGCTTGTCGTCACAGTCAATACATTGGTCTTCTTCATCATCCAATCCATACAATCTACAGCCGTTGGGACTGACATCATATTCGTGGCCATGAACACTGGATTTAGCTTTGACTAAATCATCAACAACCTCACCATAGCTAATTTTGGCTCCGGGTTCTGAATGAATTACCAATGTGATGTTAGAAAATTTAATGTATCAAGGCCATATGTTTATTTTTATTACCCATCATAATCTCATCGTGGTCCCGAATAACCGTATTAACAAATCTTACAATGTCCCTGTAAGCAGCTCTGGCTATCTTGTGTTACAGCATCAATTGGGAAAGATGAATGCTCATTAATTCAGCTTTTGTGAATGTGTTTGAGCCGATTCTACTGGCTTGATAAACGTGAGCCCTGCCTTCATTTTCTTCAAAGCTGCATCCGCAATTATAATTGATTTGGTCATCAACATCCATGCCAACTGTGGTAGAGACTAAAATTATCTTGTAAGTTATTTTTAAAATAAGGAGATAAGGTAGTTATTTATACCGTAATCACTGACGTCTCCATTATCAGCAGAATTATAATTGCTTTCTTGCATATCGGTATCTTCAGATGTTGTTGTTCTTATATGAACTCTCTTATGGTTTTGGAGTTGACGGTAACTGTCAAAGATCATCAAACAGCTGTCACATTCAAAAGCTTCACGAGGAAGTCTATCTCTTTGTCTGTTGGCATTTGACGAAGAAGAGGGAGGGAATGACATTTGAAAATTTTAATATTTGTGGAAGTGTGATTTATATTTGGAAAATGTAACCGGTGTAAGTAATGTCTATATGTAAGGTGCTTTTTATATACTCAATAACCTAAGTTTAAAATCGTCTTTTTAATTATTTCCCTTTCATAGTGACATACGTCAATGATGAAAGTTCCCTGGAAGATGACGACAGGTACGATATATTGTTAGCTATGGTCTTTGACCTTAAGTATTAATTTCGATTTTGTTTCCGTCATTTAAATTTTAAAACGCCATGACATGACGACATGTCGTCAAAAAAAAAAAATGACATAATTTAGATAAGCAGACAATTTAACTCCAAGTAACTAAAGGTGGGATAAAAATATATTACATGTACTAGCATAGCTTCTTTTAACTTTTTTATACCTTTTTATTCATTAAAAAAATTATTTTAAAACAAACATTTCCAAATGTCTGATATGAATATTGCACTCACTAATTCTGTTCGTAAAATCGGACTTGACGTTACCGAGATCAAACAAATGCTAGCTGCGCTGTCTCATCAGTTCAAAAATCAATTTGCACCAAACATCACCGATGAAGA